GGGCTACTACAACCAGGCCGAGGGCTGGAAGTGGGGCGGCTGCTCGGCCGACGTGCGCTACGGCATCGATTTCTCCCGGCGCTTCGTGGACGCGCGCGAGATCAAGAAGAACGCGCGGCGCCTCATGAACCTGCACAACAACGAGGCGGGCAGGAAAAAAAAAAAGGGGGCGTGAGAGGGGTGGGCGTGGCCACTAGGTCACCGGGTCTTGACCTCCCTGGGCTTTGGGCGCCCCTCCTGGAGGTGGGAGCTGGGAGCCTGGACCCTGGCCGTGCGGTGTGGGCGGTGCTGGGCAGAACTGTCACCCGTGATCCCCGCAGCAGCTCAGACGCACCTCGCTGTTCCCATTCCCAAGGTGTGAAAACTGAGGCTGGGAGTGATGAAGGGATGTGCCTGCACCTCCTCCCCGCAGGGAGCCCCGGGAAGAGGAGGAGCCAGGGACCCTGTTCCCACGGAGGATGGGACCCCCGGGTGGGGGCAGGCCCCCAGGTGACAGTCCCATGTCCCCGCACTGGTCCCAGGGGGGTCATGCGGCATACCAGATACCAGGAAAGGCTTCTCAGAGGAGGCGGCCTTTGGCTCAGTTTGCCCTGAGAGACCTAAGGAAGGGATGGTCCCTCAGGGAGGAGCGGCCTGGGGAGGGTGGGCCTGAGGGGGGAGGGGGCTGGTGCACGGGGTGGATGCAGCGTAGGGGGGAGATAATGGAGGACATTCAGGAGGGACACACTGGGGAAGAGGTCAGCGCGGGCCCAGTCCTGCCTCGGGGAGATGCGGGCCCCAGATATTGGGCCGGGAGGAGCGGCCACCGTGGCGGCAAGATGGCCAGAGATAGGGCAGGCAGCGAAGCAGAACGCCTCTGTGGGTCTGATTCCCAGCCCCGGCTGCACCCAGGGCGCCAGGCCCGAGGGGCGCTGCAGGCACAGGCAGACTTGCCTTTCCAGGCAAGGAGGAGTGGAAATTGCCCCCAGGGACCACCGGGGAGGCCACTGGCCGCTCACTCATTCACTCAACGAACGCTCCTTGCCCTCCTCTGTGCCAGGGCTAGGTTGGACACGGGACAGGGAGGAGTAAGAGGTGACCCTAGCCAGGGAGCTGCCCCCGCACCTACAGGGTGCACGTGAGGGGAGCAGAGGCCACACCCAGGGCCAGGGGGAGCCCTGGGGACCAGCGGAAGGCGAGCAGAAGCTTCCTGGAGGCAGCGACATCCCTGTGGAGCCTGAAGGACACACCAGAGCTAAGAGGCAGAGGCCGAAGGAGGTGGCACTTGGGAGTGGGGGAGGGGAGGGGGGAAGGGGGCGAGGCTGCAAAGGACTCAGGCTGGCGGGAGCAGGAAGGGCGGGCAAGCAGGGCCAGCCCAGAACAGGCCTTGAACGCCAGGCCAAGGGTTTGGCTTTTTTCTGTTGAGGTTCTTAAATTTTGGTCAAATGAACAAGTAAATGAAGGAATGAGTGACACAGTTTGCCTCCAGACAGTGTGTAGGCACGTTCTCTAGGCCAGAGATTGTCAACCTTTGTCACCTCACGGCACAGAAGCTAATTCCGGACTTCCTCCGCACACCGAGACATACGTTATTCTTCTGCTGATCTAACACATCAAATGGGTAGAATCTTGATTCATTCACACCGGATGGCTCTTGTGTTGGCTGCTGTCAGCTTTTTGCTTGACAGCCTAAGGGAAGAGAGGTCAGAGCCACTGACAGTCAGATATTGCACGTTTTAAACCTTCTCGCGATTCGCCGCTTGAAAATCACTGCTCTATGCACAGGCAGATCGAGATCGGTGCCTGGGGGGCCGAGGAGGCGAGATTCACTTACCTGGAGGCTTTGGGAGGGAGGGGGGCGGGGAGGAGGCATAGCTGAGCCCGAAATGGAGCACCTCCCCTGAGCCTCTGCAGTGGCTGGGCCCAGAGCGGGGCTTCCCACACCCCTGGGAGGAAGGCCTCACTGTCCCCACGTTACAGGGGAGAGCAGTGGGGCCCCAAGGAGCTGCCCGTGGCCCCGAGGCCCGCGCCCTGGTCGGTGCCTGAGCGAGCAGCGCAGATGTGGGGAAGGGAGCCCGCGGAGGGACCAGCACAGGCAAAGGTCACGCGTGCAGTGCAGCCGGGCCTCCAGCCCAGCCGAGGGGTTTGGGCGGCTGAGGAGATGGGCGGGCTGAGCAGGCCTGGGGTGAAGGACTGACAGCCGGGCTGGATTTTGGCCCCTCGGGCGCGGGTGCCATCGCAGACCCTTGAGGGAGAGTGGGGCCGAGCAGCTCAAGGGCCAGGGTCGTGTCTGATTCGGCTCGGAGGCCCGTGTGAACCCCAGGGCTGGCCCGGCGCGGGACTTGGGGGTGCTCGGAGTCTGACAGGTGGTGAAAGGCATTGGGCAGGATTGGGCCGGGGGGTGCGGGGTGCGATGGGGGTAGGAGAGCGAGGAGGCTGGGGGCAGGGTCCCAGCCTGCCAGGGGGATGCGGATGGAGGAGGGTCAGCATGTGGGGGTGCACCGGGGTGAAGCCGTGCACTGAGGAGAAAAGGCTGTCAGGGGAGGGGTCAGCAGTTGGAGGGCCCGTGGGGGACAGAGCGGCGCAGGGAAGGGCTGTAAGTGGCAGCGGTCAGTCGGTGCCAGTGCTGTCCCTGACTCCTGTGCGGCCCGGCTCACCATCCCTCTTGGGAGCCTGTCTCCGCATCTGTATGGTGGGCATAGCGCACCGGTCCCCCCGCCCCGCTGCCCCCCACAGCTGCTCTGAGCCCGCGGACAGGCCAAGGGTGCTGGCAGCACCGTGACCCCGGGAGCGCAGTCCTCCAGGAGCACGGGGCTCACCAGGGCGGGGGTGGGCATGGCTTTCGAGGTTTCCCTAAGAACCCAGTCCACACCTTCATGCGTCAACCCAGAGCGGGGGGCCGGCCCCCATTACAGAGCGATCGGCCGCCCTGCTTCCTCCACATTCTCAGGGCCACGGAGTTTAGCACGTCGGGTAGAAGGTGCGCTGACGGCTGCCACACGAACTCCCACAAACGGGGTGTCTTAAAGCGACAGAAACCCGTTCTCTCCCAGGCTGGAGCCAGGAGTGGGCGGGGGGGGGGGCTCCCTCTGAGGGCTCCAGGGGAGGGTCCTTCCTGCCCCTCCAGCCCTGGGGCGCCAGGTGCTTCTGGCTTGTGGCCCCATCATCCAGGCTCTGCCTCTGTCTGCACGTACCCCCCCCCCCCCCCCCCCCCATTCTGTCTCTTGTTAGGACGTGTCCTCAGACTTAGGGCGACCCTGGTCCAGAATGACCTCAGGTCTCACCCAGTTACACCTGTGAAATCCCAGTTTCCAAATAAGATCACCATCTGAGGTCCTAGTGGGGGTGTGTTTGAGGGGGACACTCTGCAGCCCCCCCTCGGCTGGCACGTGGTCCCCCACATCCCTGGTGGGCCGGGGGCAGACAGGCTGAGCGGGGAGACCTGCTCCCACCTCTTCTGCTGGGCTCCAGGCTCCCTCGGGACGCGGTGCACCCACCTGTGATTCCCCATAACCTGGCCATTCCTGAAATCTGTTCCCAGAGTGGGGGCACCCCTTATTCCAGAAAGAACCCCAAGTCAGCTCTTTCCTGGAGCCCTCGTCACCTCCACACTACCTGGCGGTGGGGGCACCGAGGCTGGGGGAGGTCCCGCTCAGTCCCCGGCTGCCCGGGTAGAGCGGGTCACTCCGCAGCCGCCCAGGTGGTCTCAGGGGCAGCGGGGCTGGCGCCACCTCCGCTGTCGCTCTTATCTCGAGGGCACTGGAGCCGGAAACGGCACATTCTTCACTCCTGTGATCACTTCCCAGGAGAGGCTCGGGCGCGGGGGACCCAGCCAAGCGAGGATGCGGCCCCTCGCTCTGCAAACAGCCGCCAATCGGCTCTATCTGCGGGCGGCCACTGGTCCCGCCACACAGGGTCCCTGGGCGGGGGTGGGGGGACAGGCCTTGTGGCCTTGATGCTGACAGGAAGATGGGACTGAAGGAAGGGGTTTGGGCAGGTGGCACAGAGAGGCGAGGGGCAGCTGTCCAGCCAAACTGGACACGCAGATGGCAGTTAAGCTGGGCCCACCCGGCTGGCACAGCCTCCGGTGTGGGCACCCCTGCCAGGTCTCTGGTCATCACGACGACTGAGGAGGAATCCCTGAGCAGCAGCCTGGGGTGGACGGTGCCAGGCGAGGGGTGTGGGCAGCTCCTGGCGGAGGGGCAGACACAGTGGGCAGTGGCCAGGGGAGGGGAAGCATCCAGGCCTTGAAGGGCCAGTGATGGAAGAAGGGGCTCTGAGGAGAGGGGAGAGCAAAGATGACCATGGGGAGGGTGAGGAGGGGGCAGGAGGAGGAGACACGGGTGGGAGGGGCAGGAGGCCGAGAGGAGGCCCAGGGGTGCTTTCCCCTGGGAAAGGGGTCCCACCAGGGTCCTGCCCTTGACCCAGACCCTCAGACCAGCCTTCTGGCCTGTGCCGTGGACCCCGACACCCCATGGCCCTGCAGTTCCAGGTCTGAATATGCCCCAGGGTGTCCTCCACGCAGGAGCAGAGGGCCCCACCCCCAAGCTCCAGGCCGCCAGCCTCACGGCCGCCACACACGATGCTCATTTGGGCCAGTGAGCATCCTCTGCAGTCATGCGGACAGCTGGTGCTGCACCCCCTCCCGCACACCTCCTCTGCACCTAATGATCTCCATAGACATGCAGCGCACGTACTGCCTCCTCCAGGAAGCCCCCCTGATGGCACCCTGGCCCTGGGCAGGCGGAGGCTCCCACAGCCCCTGCACTTTGAGCTTTTGTGTGTCAGTTTCCTTCTGTTCCCCACACTGGACCATGAGCCCCGGACCGACGTCCTTGCTGAGGTCCAGGCCCCAGGCTGCCAGGGGAGGAAGAGAGATTGGGGCAGCGGCCAGCTCTGTGGGCTGTCCCTCTTTCCCCTTTGCATTCCCCGTGGGCCTCCTCCCTGGGCCAGGGCTGGGGTTCTGAGCGAGGGCTGGGGTTCTGGGCGAGGGGGGTTCTGGGCGAGAGCTGGGGTTCTGAGCGAGGGCTGGGGTTCTGGGCGAGAACTGGGGTTCTGGGCGAGGGCTGGGGGGGTGGGCGAGAGCTGGGGTTCTGAGCGAGGGCTGGGGTCCTGGGCGAGGGCTGGGGTCCTGGGTGAGGGCTGGGGTCCTGAGCGAGAGCTGGGGTTCTGAGCGAGGGCTGGGGTTCTGGGCGAAGGCTGGGGTTCTGGGCGAGGGCTGGGGTTCTGGGTGAGGGCTGGGGTCCTGGGTGAGGGCTGGGGTTCTGGGCGAGGGCTGGGGTCCTGGGCGAGGGCTGGGGTCCTGGCAGGGGCACAGGGTAGCAGCTTCCTTCTGGGCTGGTGGCGGAAGTGAGGCCGGGCGGGGACAGCTGACAAATGGCCCACCCCAGCCGTGGGCCGAGCTAATGATTCTCATCTTTAATCAGCGTGGCTGGCAGGCCCCTTCGATCCGGGTAAATGAGTACCTGGGGTCAGGGCTGGCTCTGGGAACCGGCCCTCCGGGCCCGGGAGGGAGGCCCCAGGAAAGCACACGGCTGCGCCCCTCACGCCCGCTCGCAGCCGGAGGAGGAACCACACGTGGGTCGGGGAGGCTTCCCAGCAGACGGCAGCCTCCGCCTCACTGACCTGCGCTCACCCCCCGGCCCCCGCCTTCAGCAAACGGGGCGCGGAGAGCCCCACACGCACACGGGCTACCAGGGCACAGGCCGGACCACACGCCAGGCCCGACCCCGCAGGAGGGCAGGGAGGGGAGACAGGCGGGGATCCCCACCGATGAAGCTCCCGCTGTCGCTGGGCCTGGTGCCACCATGAGGCGCCCGCCCCGAGCCCAGCTTCACCCCCTGCTGCCTGTGACCTGCACAAGCCCCACAAGCACGCCAGGCCTCAGTTTCCCCGCGGTCATTGGCCCCCAGCTCCCTGAGGGCTGTTGGGGGAATTTGCGAAGCACTTTGGATAAATGTGTGCCCAGCTCTGCCGAGTTCCGATTCTCTCACGGCCCCTCACAGGCCCTGCTCGGTGGGGACCTGTGGTCAGAGCCCCCTTTAGCGGATGAGGACTCAGGGAGGAGACACTGACTCGGGTGACACAGCGGGGAGTGTGGGGGAGCTGGCTCCGCTAGGGCTGGAGGCTGAGGGCCTGGGCGGAGGGGTGCTCCGGGTGGAGGGGTGCTCCTGGTGGAGGGGAGCTTTGGGTAGAGGGGTGCTCTGGGCGGAGGGGTGCTCTGGGTGGAGGGGTGCTCTGGGCGGAGGGGTGTTCCGGGTGGAGGGGTGCTCTGGGTGGAGGGGTGCTGTGGGTGGAGGGGAGCTCCGGGTGGAGGGGTGCTCCGAGCGGAGGGGAGCTCCGGGTGGAGGGGTGCTCTGGGCGGAGGGGAGCTCCGGGCGGAGGGGAGCTCTGGACAGAGCTCAGCCCTGCTCCTGGCCCCGCAGGTCCTGGAGGAGCGCATGAAGCTGGAGTGCAAGTGTCACGGCGTGTCGGGCTCCTGCACCACCAAGACCTGCTGGACCACGCTGCCCAAGTTCCGCGAGGTGGGCCACCTGCTCAAGGAGAAGTACAACGCGGCCGTGCAGGTGGAGGTGGTGCGCGCCAGCCGCCTGCGGCAGCCCACCTTCCTGCGCATCAAGCAGCTGCGCAGCTACCAGAAGCCCATGGAGACGGACCTGGTGTACATCGAGAAGTCGCCCAACTACTGCGAGGAGGACGCGGCCACGGGCAGCGTGGGCACGCAGGGCGGCCGCGGCTACAACACGCACCAGTACACCCGGGTCTGGCAGTGCAACTGCAAGTTCCACTGGTGCTGCTTCGTCAAGTGCAACACGTGCAGCGAGCGCACCGAGGTCTTCACC